GACAGCATCCAGCTCATAAGAAAAATTGACACTGCTTCATACTGCACTGATAGGACCACACCTGGAATCCTATGTCCAGTTTTAGTCACCACAATTCAAAAAAGATGTTGAGACATTAGAAAGTGCAGAAAAGAGCAACAGAAATTATTAGGGAGTTGAAGGGTAAAACATAGGATGGACAGTTGTAGGAACGGGGTATGTCTACACTGAGGAAGAGAAGGATTAGGGGTGACAAAACACTATTCCAATATCTGAAAGACTGTCACAGGGAAGAGGGGATCATCCTATTCTCCAAAGCCCCGGAGGGCAGGACAAGAAGTAACAGGTCGAAGATCATTAAAGAGAAATCCAACCTAGAACTAAGGAGAAATGTTATGACAGTGAGAACAATGAATCAGTGGGTTTGCCTCCAAAAGTTGTGGAGGCTCCATCACTGGAGGCATTTAAGAAGAGATTGGACAGCCATTTGTCTGGAATGGTATAAGGTCTCCTACTTGAGCAGGGGGTTGGACTACAAGACCTCCAAGGTTCCTTCCAAATGTGTTGATATTGTTACCGTTACATTGACTAATTTTGATTAAAAAACTCCGACAACTGATCCAAGCACTACTCCAGCTTCCTCCAGTGTCACTTGGGAATGAACAAGCCTTTATTTTGTCTGAACATGAATCCATCTCAATGGCCTTCTTGACCAGAAACCTAGCCTATCCAGCCTCAGAAGCTTGGGAGAGGGGATGTTAGGGGGAGTGGGAGTTAGAAACTTCTCTACACTGCCAAAATATTGTGTGTTGCTTCTGCCAGCCAAGGAGGGGCTTTCCCACCATGGAGGCAGAGAATACCAACCGGTCCCTCTTCCCAGCCTCTCATCTTTCTCTTCTGGCTTCCAGGCCTTCCAAACCTGCAGGGGAGATCCCTGGGCCAGGAGGCAGCATGCAAATGGCCTGGGGCACGCACAGCTGGAGCAGCAGCAAGGGGCGCTCAAGTTCCCAGCACTGACGTAACCCAGCTTTTTTCTCTGGCAGGTTCTACCCTCAAAAGGCAGCTCAGTGGGGCCCAGGGGAGAGTGAGGGGTTCCTGAGATAAGCCAGAGTGCCACAACTACCAAAGTGGCTCCTTCCCTCCTTCCTGCTTACCTCTGTTCGGCAGCTGGCTTGCCGGTTCTCTCCTCCTCCTCCAACCATTGTAGAGGGTTGGGAGCAGGGTTGGGTCCTGGATGAAAGGGTGGGATAGCTGCACAACATTCCAGATTGAGACCCAGGGGTGCACAGCCATAAGCAATCAATAGGAACTGGAGGGGGTGGCTCGTGAGCCAGTTGCTTCTTTGTACCAACACGTTCCCTTGTTCCATTGGTAGATTAGTGGCTACATTAATAAATGTGTAAATGTGCCCTTTCAGCAATAAAAGCTATTATTCTTTTCCTCTTTCTGCCCTGCTTTAAGTCTCTTGCACAGACAGAAACTATTCAAAAAAGGTGATTTGTTTACCTCAGTGGCAGTGACTTTGTTCATTTTGTTTTATAATGCAAGTACTTGTTTCTCTGGCCAAAAAGCAGGAAAATGACATGTCCAAGGGAGCCACAGGTCCCGTCCCCAGTCTTTTTACAAAGATGGCTACTGAGGGAGCATTATGTCAATTACCCACTTCACTTGGTGTCCAGGCTAAGATCTAAAGTGCCAAAGCAAGTTGCAGGTACAAAGTCTCAGCAGATGAAGACAAGAACACAGTCTTGGCAGCAGATGAAACAGTCTTCTTTATTGGTGCTGAGTAATAAGCATAATGAACAAAGGAGATAATGCAGTTCAGGATTGCTGGCTCTCCCAAATAACAAGAAAGACCTTTCTCAATCCATTCCTCTGATTCACTAATTAGGCCTAAGAAAGCATCTTGGTATTCAGTCCTGCTGTATTTGACATGCATGAGAGAAACCAAAGAGAGCAGAACATTCTCAAAGCCCAAGTTAACTTTTCCTTGTTAAGCCTTCTGCTGTTTTTGGAGGTGTAGGATAAGTTCTTCTGCATAAACTCTAAACAGGGGAACAGGGTCCTAGGAAAATACAAATACAGAGGGTGAGTCTTACAACTGCCCTTGATTTCAATTAATAGCACCTCATGAGGACTGGTCTCAGCCCGACGGAGGGACTCCTGAAAGTTCTCATTCTCAAAAGATATACTGAATCAATGGAAAGAAATGCAACTGAGAATGCAACTGGTTATTGGTTATGAGTAGGTAGATACTCTAGGCAGATGTTGCACTATCAAGGAAGTGAAAGGACCGGCCTGCCAATCTCTGGCACAATCCCTCTATGACGTGCTTAAGCCATGTACCTTCTTCTCCAGAACTCTCTGCTTCTCCACAGCTTCCTCCAAACTCAGTCCAATCCATTCAGCCTCTTCTTCTGGAATGACAAACTCCTGTAGGCAAAGTTCAAATTGCTAAATGGCAGCACAGAAATTTACTGAGAAGCCAGATAGCTATGATTATGGAAAAAATGCAGATATGGGTAAACATATGAGGAAAATCTCTAGCGGGGAAGCTACATGCCAACACAATAGGCTATTGGAACGGAAGCTCTTTTCCAAGAGATGTGTAACTGTATCCAAAAGTTACAAAGATAGCACTTCCCTCTCCATTATTCTCATGCACAATACCTGTTCCCAAGAACAGAGGGCAAAAAAATGCACCCTGCAGCAAGAAATCACCCCTAGGCCTTCCTAGACACTCTTGTAAAGAAGGAGAGTCACCTTGTATTTGTTATAAACAGTCTTCCTCTTGGCTGGATCATCTGGGTGGAGAGAAGGGTCCTTGCGTGCCAGTCTCAAAAGCAAGGTGCGCTTCAGATCCATGCCCAATTTGGAACACAACTCAGACTTCGGGGTCTGTAAATGAAAGGGATGAAATGCCACTGTCTACCTTATGTGTTACAGGTGGCCCTGTGGGCAACCACAACCCCATCAGTCAGAGGAGGACCTGTGCAGTCTCAAGTCGTTGCCATCATGCACTGACCAGAGCTGGGAAGGAAAGTCTCCATTCCGAAACCAGCTGCAAACCTTTAAGATGTAGAAGTCAAAGCCAAAAGCTTTGTCGATCTGCTCCAGCGTCCTCATGGTAATAGCAATTCTCAACTTCTTGTCTAGGATCTCGCTGTAGAATTCGCGATTGAAAATCTGCGGCTTCCAGACCTTCTTCAACCGTCTCGAGAGCTGAAGGCATCAAGGAAGGAGATGGAGCCAGGGGGGTAACGCGCAGGAGGCCCCCCCCCGACAGAGGGGCAAGCGCCCCCGGCCTGCTCCAAGCGCGGGGCCGCGGACCCACCTTGTCGTCGTGGGCGTAGCGGTAGCCCTCCACCCAGCCCTCACCGCCCCACAGCCCCTCCTGGCTCTCGGGAGGGAAGTAGACGGGCACCGGCACCACCTGCTGCCGCACGCCCTCCAGGGGCCCCGGGCGGCGCACGTACTCGCCGGCGGGCGGCCTCCAGTGGACGGCAGGGGGCGGCGCGGCGGCGTCCTCGCGCAAGGCCCGCAGGTAGTGGGGCGGCAGCCGGGCGAGGATGCCGCGCTGCAGGCGCAGCGAGTCCCACAGCCGCGGCGGCACCTTATGCAGCGGCATCGCGCGCAGATCTACGCCGGAAGCGACTGCCTCGGCCGCCCGCCGCTTCCGCCTGCGTCTCGTTGGCACACAGCCCAGCCGGAAGCGGAGGGCGGGCAGCGGGCCTCCCTTCCGGGATGGAAACCCTCTTTGTCCGAGAGAGCCCCCCCTCTCCCCGTGGCCTTCCGGGGCGTTTGGTCGTAACTTGCCTGGGGCCTCGCCCGGGCGCCTCCCGCTGGCCATCCAAGCAGGGCGGGTAGGAATTCGCGGCCGCGCGATCCCTTTGCCCTCCAGAAATGCTTCCTGCACATCCAGACAACAGGCGACTGTTACACCGATGTGCCCCCTCCCCACCCTCCGCCTCGCTTGCTTAGATGAACCACTTCCGCTAGACCCGCTCTGGCTGACGAGTCCTTTTCACTTTTAACCAATGCAAGCATTATTTTTAATTGAACTGAAAATACTTTAATTAAAGACGTGAAAGTTAAAGGAAGCTGTTCCTTTTAAAAAAGCTTTAAAGTGCCACAGATGGTTAGATGGAATGTAAATAATAGGATATTGCGACCAGCAGTTGCTAGAGCTTTTCCTGAGACGATGATATATCCGTGTTTGCATTTTTAATTTAAAATTAAGTTGAGTTTTCTTTATCCACTGCAGTGATTCCACATCGACCCTGGACCAAGGCTCTTTTAAGTGCAGGTTAACACAAGGACAGGCGAATGACCTCCGAGCTCCCTAGAGGCTACAAAAACAGCGGGGAGGGGGTGTCTGACAGGCAACACCAGTTACTCTGTGGCCTGTTCAGAGACCTGATTCTTCTGCCTTCAGGAACAGGTTCCGTTGCTATACAGAGAAAATCTGACCCAATCCTCGGCCACCCTGGCCAAGGATTCCTATGTTTGCTGCCCTCTCCCCACCCAGGAAGGGAGTCTATATTTGAAAAAAGAATTTATCCTGCAGGAGTCTTCGTGTACCAATAAAGTGCTATTCATATACCTGAGTTCAAACACGCCAGTCCAGGATGTGTGGCACTCTTCTGAGAAGAAAGCTCCTTCCTAACCTATTTTCATGGGGCTAATGATCTCACCTCTGGAGACAAGGTGGTGGATGCAGGGCAGAAGTGGTGGGGCTTGGATAGTGAACCTGCATCCACCTTGGATGCTCCTGCCTTCAGTCCCCCTGAATTGCCTTAATCCCCAGCCATTATCTGGGTTCAAGAAGCACCTATTTACTTTCTGCTCATTACTCCCAAGGCTGCCATGAGATGAAGCTACATTTCCCAAGATTCAGAAAGGCCCAGGTTCTATCAGACAGCCTCCTCTTCAGCCAGATATTGCACTGTCTGGCTGCCTTCATTTTCGTCTAGCACACCAGAAGGAATGGGGTTTTTTTCCCCCCACATTCTTCCTGCCAAATTAAGTGGATCCATTGGGAGGGAGTCTGGCTGCATCAGCCCCTCCTTTTCCAATCACCTCACTGTGTAGAGTTCCTCCTGGTCATTCTTACAGATTTGGTAATGGCAAAGCAGTTTACGGGACCAGGCCCACGGGTCATTCTGCTTATCTCCAGGAGGAAGGAGGAAGGCCACGCTGCTTGCCACCATGATGTGCCAGATGCTGTGAGTGTAATAGTAATTTTCAGTGGTTTCCATGAAGGTGTACACTGCTATGGCCACAAGTGCCAAGCTGGTCCCAGGGAAGAGGAAAAAGACCCAGCGCTTCCAAGAGGGAGGATAGCAGCGGCGCCGGGAGATCCCACGATAGACCTATGGGAGGAAAGAGGGCTTACTGGGAGCAGCACAGCCAAGGGACTTGCCAGCCTGCTCCCAGAGCTTGGTTGGCCTGTTGCAGAACCTGCTCTTAACATGTCTTGCATTCCCTGCAAGAATAAAGCGCCCTCAGGCCCAGTTGGTTGCAGTAAAATACCTAAGAAGCAAATGGTAGTGGACTTCCTGCCACCCGAGCTCAGAGGTTTGCTAATCATAGGGAACCTCAAGAAGGAAGTCCAGAAGGCAGTGGTGACATACCCAAATGCTGGCCATGACAGTGAGGGCAAAAACACAGGGGGCCATCATATTCCACACACCCCTGCGGTCCAGCTGTAGCGACATTGCAATGACCAGAGTCCCCAGCATGCAGAGGACCTAGAACAAAGGAGAAAAGCCTGTACAAGAAGATCCAGGGCTGCTTTGGAAGTTGCTGATGGCAACAAGAGATCTGCCCACTCCATCCTCTCTTGCCTGCCTTGGAACACACAAACCCAGCACAAATGAGGGTGCAAAGCCAGCTTCCTGGCCAATACTCACCCCCCACCACTTGTGCTGGTCGCTTACACTGCAGCCAAGAAACGCTAGGCAATAATGGCTCAAGGGGGAAAGTTCACCTCTTCCATCCCATAATCTGGCTTCCTCCCCCATTTCTTCCCAACTTTTAATTAGGGATTGCCTATGGCTCCCCATACATACATATTTCAGAATCTTCTTGACTTTTGCCATGCACAGAATGGTCACCCAGATAGAGACAACAGAGCCCAGAAAGTCACAGAACTGCAATGTGTCGTAGTCCATAATGCACATTACGGCAATGCCAGGTTGGTCACAGGCGTGGTAGAACTGTAACCACAGTAAGGAAAAAGTAGGAGTGGTGCCAGAAAGGGGGCTGTTGATAGCAGATCTGCATCTTCAAAAGCTTGGCCCAGAAAGGCTCCTATATCCCTCCTGGCTCAGAGGTCCAGTGGGGCCAAGAGAACTCCAGAAACCCTAATTCACCCAGACAGGCCAAGGAATGGAAGCCAGCTTGCCCACTTTCCATTGCAAAGAACTGAACTGCTCTACAGTATGCATTGGACTAAAGAAAAACAAAAAACTTACTGTGGAAAAGAACATGGTGAAGGTATAGACGGAGGCCTCAACCAGGTGATAATGGTAAAGGGCCACAATGATTGCAGGCAGGAAGAACAGGTTGCTGAGGGTGAGCAAGAGGGTGGCCAGGATCTGGGTGCCTACAGACTGGGCTTTGGTTCCATCTGTGCAGCTCCAGCCAGCCCAGCCTGCAAGAGGAAAGGGCAAGGGAAGACATTAGCTACAGAAAGCAATGCACTGCCAAAAGCAGAATCTCAACTCAACCATTTCTCTGTCCTTGTTTTCTTGGATCCATGTGTGTGCTTCTAAAGTGGTGCAGCCATCGGCCTGCCAATACACTTGGTTTCATTTCCAAGTGCTTTTGGAGTAGTACAGCCACTCCCAGAGGCACCCAAACAGGTAGGCAGCTCCATGCAGAAGGTGGGTTCTGGTGGGGCTTGCTCTCCTTTCTTGGAGGACGGGACTTGAGGTAGAGCTGCCCCGGCTGGGAGGCCTGGGGGAGAGAAGCAAGAGAGTTCTGACTAGGACCTCTCTTACCAGCCTTACAGATGCAGCCGGTGTAGAGGTAACCATGGCGCCTCATGAGGCTGCACTGTCCGTAGGTCCCACAATCGTCATAGCAGGGGGTGAGGTAGGCAAGCATGGCTACCTGGCCTTGAGCTTGATCACAGTCTCTGCACAAGAAGGGGAGAGAAAGAAGATGGGTCCAGGGAGTTCCAAGATGCAGCAGCTTCAGTCCTATTGGGGATGGCCAGCACAGGGGTGGGTGGGGTAGGGGTTGTAAGCACAAAGCCACTCCACCAGCAGTTTTCTCCCTGTGCTACAGAGAGCTAGGCTCAACCTGGAGATCCAGTACTCACTCTGATTCCTTTGGGCAGAGCAGTTTCAGAGACAGATACCAGCTGCCGGTTTGTGGGTAAGGAACAATGACTGCAGCTTCCCTGGAGGACATGCTCACATTCAGGAAGTAGCCCTGAGCGAAGGCTGGGTGGGAGAGGAAGAAGCAAGCAAATCAGCTGCAGTTGGTACATGTCCTTTGGAAACCATTGGTTTCTTTGGAGTAAAGGCACAGGTGCTCCAGAAAAGGGGAAATACAGTTGTTGGAACATTGGCAAGCAGCTCTGCCGGCTACGTACCTGTCCAGCAGCCACCGGAGCCATTCAGGGAAAGTGCAGGAGATGCAGGGCTCAAGCAGGCCAACACAGTGGCATTTCCAGAAGTCTGCAATGACAAAATTGATCCCAGTTCTGAATTCTGGCAGGAGGCAAAACTTGTCGACCTTTGGCCCTCCAGGTAGAAGGCATTCATTCTCACCTGGTTCAGCATCAGGTTCAGCACCAGGTTCCCTCCACTGTCCATGCCTGAGTTTAGGTTAAGGAGTAGCAGAGTGGGAATATCGCTCTGGACAGGCACAGTGGAATCTCCAAGAATGCGGAAACGCACAGACGCAACGTCCAGCTCCTCGCGGACAACCGGCTGGCCACGCAGGCAGGTGTTTCCTGGGCCAGAGGCATTGTGGCTGCTGCCCATGGCAAGCAACGTGCTGTTGAGGTGGTCTCCAGGCATTGGCATCCCCTGGTCCTGCTTCAAGCTCGGATAGAAGCCAAGAAAGGAAGCCACGTCTCCTGGCTTGCATGCTGCAAGGAGAGAAGTCAACACATGCTCTGTCACACAAATGGGCAGGAGGAATGGGGAAGGCCTTCCACCCTTCTGGATGGAAACAGGACCTCCCCTTCCTCAAAGCAGAGGGCACCACTCTCTCAGTTGGGTGAGAAAAGAAATAAGCAACAAAGAGGTCTGAATAGGAATGGAGAGAGCCTGTGCTCAGGTCTCCATGGTTGCCGACACTCGTTCCTGATTCCAAACATTCTGAACAGGGGCACGTACCTATGAAGAACACCGCCATCTCAAAGGACACGCTGGCATTGATACCACCAAGGCTCTCCACTGTGATCCAAACCCACCTTCCCCATGGTGGGGAAGCCAAGAAGATGCTGCAAGCTTCCAGGCAGTGAAGCACCTTCTGGGAAGACCAAGAGAGCACAGCCAAACCCAAGGTGACTCGGAGGGCACAGGCTGCAGCAGAGCCATTCTCCATGCATTTCCCCAGCTCAAAGCGCATCCCAGCAGTGTACTCAGGAACAAAGATCCTGCAACACATTTCCGATGCAGAGAGAGGGCCCAAGAGTTAGTATATGGTTCTTGGTCTTAAAGGGGCCAGCCAATGCAACCCCACCCCACTCCATGCTACTCACTTGGCGTGAAGTGGCCTAATAGCCCCCTTGGACAGAACCTGTTGCACAGGGACATCAGGCTTAAGGACTACAATGTCCACTTGGCGCAGCACAAACAGGTCAGGCTGGAAGATGTAGCTGCAAGACCTGGAGAAGCCCTGCAGGCAGAAAGGCCAGTCAGGGAAACTGCCCTGCTCAACTCCAGCTCTGCCAGTTCCTATCTAGCACAGTGGATGCCTCTTGAATCATGGTATGCCATGGATTTGGGCTTTGGAATTCCACATCGCCTGCAGGCTGTTTCCCCCACTGCCACCAGCCCAGTTCTCACCTTCATCTCAATCTTGCTTGATGCTGGGGGCAGGTGGGCAGCAAGAAACCAGTCCCCAGCAGCCGGGTTAGTGAGGTTGACAAAAGTGCTATTCTGCAGGGCAGCATCCAAGGTCAGAGTTTGGCTGAAGGACGGAGGGATGCTTGTGTTCACAGGAAACTGTGTGCCCAGAGGGTTGATGACAGGAGGGGCACCAAAGCGGATGTGGCTGGAGGACACAGGTTAAGAGAAAGGATCACTCACTTTCTCAGGCCCTCGGGACAGAGACCCCAAGCCCTCCGGAGCTGGTACTCCCTGGCACAGTAGCAGCGGGGGAGAACTCACTCACAAGGTAACTTGAGTCTTGCCACATCCAGGGCCTTTGTCTCTGGAAGCCTGCAGGAGCCACCGCAACTGCACTGTGTCCTCAGGGACACGGAAACGGAAAATTTTGGCACTTCCATACCAACTGTAGAAGGACAGCGTCTGTGAGCTCTGGGAAAAATACTCAGAAAGAAACGCCGGATCTGAGAAGAAAAGAAGAACCGCCCTCAGGCGCCCAGCCCTAGCTGCAGACAGGTCCTGGTGGGGAGGCACTGGCTACTGGTCAAGCGCAGGGCTGTATTCCCACCCTTAGTGGACAGCCTGCAGCTTGACTGGCCACAAATGCCATTGTCTCCATTGCAGCTCTCAGGTGGGTATCAGTGACAGCTCTGGGGCAGTGAAACTGGCTGGCCGGCCCAGGAATGACCTTGGAGTGATCATCAAGCACACAGGCAGCCTCTGAGCAGGAAGCTTCTACGTGTCCATTAGGAGACCGCCAAGAGTCCTGGGAGGGACTCGCAGAGCATAGTGAGGCAGGCCAGGCAGGCAGGCACACCCCAGCCTGCAGGCATCATTGTGCTGGACTTTGTACAGCAAGCTCATTTCCGGAAAAGAGTGAGTCCTCTTTTCCCTCTCGCTGCCTGAGGGCTGGGCATGGTGAGGGTTGAGCACTGCCAGTCACTGGGACTTTTGGATGAAGGCACGATATTGCCCCTGCTTGCCCTGACACACTGTATGTCGCCAGGAAGAGCTGTGCCAGGCAAGGAAATCCAGACATGGGTATCGGTAAGGAAGGAGAGAAGGAAGGAAGCGAGCACCCTGTTGAGGCTAACACAAGACAGTGTGCCTGCCTGCAGCCTACCGTGAAGCCCAGCGGCCATGATCCAGGAATGGAAGCCAGGAAGACCAAACCCCGTCCCCCTAGTGCCTGGGCACTGGCCCATCCTTCTGAGGCACGGATGCCCAGGAAGAAGCCCCAGACCAGGTGCCACAAAGCCCTGCCAGCGTGAGGCCCTTTGGAGCCACCTACTCGCTGGCCCGTTTCCAAGGGGGCTGCTGGGCTTCCTGCCAGGGGAAGCAGCATAGGCTCCTTCGAGGGACAGCCCTCTCCCCGCGGCCCCCAGCAAAAGAGCAGCCGCTGGCCCGCCGCCCTCACGGGGAAGGGCTCGGTCGCGGAGCTGCCAACCGCAGCCCGCTTGCCAGAGGACAGGCGCCTGGGGCCACTGGGGAAGCCGCACGCTGCGCGCCTCTCAGAGCCGGCTGAGGGCCGCGCCCGGCCGAGTCAAGGTAGCGAGCGCGTTCCCCGATCCGCCGCCGGTGCCGCGCAGAGGAGCAGCAGGGGATGCGCGGCTCACCCTCGGTGCCCTCGGTCCGCTCAGCCTCCTTCTTCTCCAGCGGCGAGCGGGCAGCGGCGGCCAGGAGCAGGAAGAGCAGAGAGCAGCGGCCGAGCGAAGCGCCAGCCATCTCCGCCAAGGCTCCGGACCCGGACTGGCCGGCCGCCCGGCGCTGGCGCCAGGGGGAACCCGCGGGGCAGGAGGGAAGGCAGTTGGGCACGCGCTGCGGGCGGCGCTTGACCGGGAAGGGGGCAGCGGCGGAGGCGAACCGGCTCCGCCCTCAGGCGCCGGGGGGGGGGGCAGCGGTGGCCGGGAGAGCGCGGCTTCCTCGGCCGGCGGAGAGCGGGCAGGGGGCAGAGCCCGCCTCCGCGCCGCGCAAATTCGTTGCCAGCCTTTGCCCTCGGCCCCGCGTGACTCGCAACCCCGCGCGATTCCTCCCGGCGCATCTCCGGGCCAGCGCCGCCCCCCTAACCGCCCAGGAATGCGGCCGCTGGAAGGTTCCGCGAACTCGGCCCCGCTCTCCCGCCCGTCCCCCTCCCCACCCCATCCCAACGGGCGCTCCCCTGTGCCAGCCATGGCCGTCTTTGGGGGTCCCAGCGGAAAGCTAAAGGTGGGGTGAGTGGTCCGCTGCCCCAAACTGGTCCCCGGCGCTTCGGCCAGCTGCCGGGCGGGTGAACCGGGGGCTGCCGGGACATCCCTCAAGTGGCCGGCAGCAGGACCCAAGGCCGGAGATGTGTTATTTGGGAAAAGTGCCACCAAGCTCCCTCTGGTTTTTTGCCACCCTGGACTAACACAAGTCTCCTCCTGCGATGAAGTGGAAGACCTTGAGTTCCTGTCAGCCATAAAAGCCAGCTGGGTGATCGTGGGCCAGTCATTCTCTCTCAATCCAACCAACCTCAGAGGGTTGTTGTAATGCTGATTTGAGATGTGACCATCTCAGAACCTAGCGGAACCTGATAGGTTATGATACCAAATATAAGCATGTCCAAAAAATGAACAAGGGCAACTTGGCAACTTTATTTTCTGTGCTTCCAGAAGCAGCCTGAGTGTTCAAGCTCAAATTTCACCACATCCCTTTTGTCTCAGGAAAAAGGCTTGCCTCTTCACAATATTCCATGAGAGGAATTTTGCAAGTTTATTCCCTTATTTTCAGAGTTTCGTCCTCCAGAATTCTTCAAAATTCCTCCACACCCTTACTCATCCCACACTCTTCACCAGTGAGAAGTGCCCCTTGGAGGCTGTGCACAGGGCTGCCTTGGCAGCGGCTCTGTGATGGGGGAGGGGCAGATCCCAGAAACACCCCTCCCCCATGCCCCTGGACACCAGGGGCCTTCAGTGTTTCTTGCCCAGGCCAGGAGCACCAAAGGCAGATATAGTTTCCTTCAGGGAAAGAATGAAGGGTGGTGGAGAGTGCCATGCATATGGTTATGGTCACCATTTTCAAAGCAGTTGGTGCTGATCATAGAAACACAGAGGCAAAGGAGAAATCTGCCACATTTTAAAAATCAAGCCATACGGAGCTCTTCTAATGGATAATGTGGTTGCTTAATTTATGTCTCTATATTGTGGAAGCTAGCTAATTGCATTATGTATGTAAGTCATGGTTAAGGCAATCATAGAGTCAAAAGGAACTTAGAAGTCTTCTAGTCCAACCCACTGCTCAGGTTGGGAATCCAGGAAAAATGTTTGTCCCATTATTCCTTGAAAGCCTCAGTGATGGAGCATCCACATTTTCGGGAGGCGAGCTATTTCATGACTTCACAGCTTTATAGGTAATACGTGCAAACCCAACCGATGTGTGCTGACTATCTCCTCTTAGCCAGCTTCCAGTACTAGAAGGGGTAGTTTCATGCTGGCTTTTCAGGGCTGTTGTTTCAGACTCTGTCCTTCACAGGCAGGATCACTACAATGCAAATACACGAGGACAGAGCCTGTTGCACTGTCATGCCTTTCATCATTTGGCACCATGGTGGTTAGGGGTGAACTCTTGTATATTTTCTTGATACGTTCACACAATACATTTAGCTGGTTACCAAATACACCTATTTTTATTTTACTTTATTGAGTTTGCAGAATACCAGGCTAGGTAACACCAAGAAAAGTTAAAGCTGTGAAACAAAGTTCTTTCTGTTAGGTATTTGGCCTGGTTCAGACTGCTGTGGAAATACAGCTCATCTTGTTCAAAAAGCCTAGCAGGCAACATCATTTTCTTTTCCTTCCAGACCACCCACCTCAGATCCATTGAAGGATCTGACAGAAGTGGAACAGCAACTGATCCGAGACATTTGGGGAAAGGTGTTTGACAATGCTGAAGAAAATGGCAGGATTGTTATTATCAGGTACCGGTGGTAGAAAACTGGACTCCTTCTGTGGGGGACCCCCATGCTTGGAAGCTCTGTTTGGGGCTCAGAGGAAGCCCACTGAGAATCCCGGCCTTCTTGGCAGCCCAATAGTGGGATAGGGCCAGATATGTGGCATTGTCTTGATTTTGTGTGGGGTGGGAAAGTGGGTGCCTTGCTACTGAGGTTCATTTCTTGTTGCTATACTCCCCCAAAAGAGGATTAATAAGTACAAGAATTAAAACACTTTGTTAAAAACAAAAGCATAACACCACAGAGACTATAAATGGCAACCCTCCAAGTTCTGATGAAGAAGTGACATGGTTTCTCCTGCTACCAAAAAGACAGTTGGGGATATCCTGGTCCAATGCCTGGAGGCTGCTACCAAAGAGACCCTCCATCATGGCCCCTAACCCCACTGAGACCATCAGCACGGCCTCTCCCAGTGACTGCACAAACCAGATGGGGGGGTTGAGAAGATACTCTTTTATGTCCTGAGGCTAAACTCTTCAGACAGGCCTGATCCAGACTACCAGCAGAGGAACCTCCAGCCCACGTAACAGTCTGGCTGTTACCTCTTCTTTGAGCACTACAGTTCATCCCTGACCGAGACCTGCATTAGGCCAGTGAGCCACTACCCTCCACTCTTTCAGATGCCAATGTCTGGATTCCTTTGTTTGACATGGGTGAGAAATCTTGTTTGGACAGGTACCTGGCCGGCCTGGTAAAATAAAAAGCATATAATGCTCATTCCAGTCCAGCTCAACATAGGGAGAGAGCAGCTGAGCAAAATTTGCCTGTCTCTTTTCCTTCTGTTCAGGTTCTTCACAGAATACCCAGAGAGTAAGCAGTATTTCAAGAACATTCCAACTGAAGGTGACCTGATGATGATCCCAGAGGTGGGCTTCCATGGCCGGAGGATCATGGTGACCCTGAACCAGCTGATTGAAAGCATGAGTCACTGGAAGCAAGCCTGCAAGCTCATTGAGCGGTTGGTGGAAAGCCACAAGAACGTACACAAGGTCCCATTAGGCATGTTCCAGGTACACAAGAAGGAAAGCAGACCCAAGGTCTGCCAAGGGGCAGCTGATGTAACCGCATGGTGATCATCCCTCCCCAGAAGGGAGATTTGGGGCAAATAGTTGCCTGCCTGCCTCCCTGCAGTATACTTGATCTGGACCCCAGTGGGCCATGAAAGGTAGAACAGCTTGCGGGGGTCCCCTTGTTTGCACACTAGCTCCCTTTCAGAGGCTCCCAGGGTGAGTGATCTTGGACATGGGTGGGAGTCCTCTGGCGCTTATCTCGGACTGTCCTCTCATAACTCTGCCTTTACCTAGTTCCTATTTCAGGCCATTCTCTCTGTCTTCCAAGATCTCCTCAAAGAAGAGTTTACTGATGACGCTCAGTTAGCCTGGGAAAAGTTCTTCCTGATTCTTCGTGAAGAAATTGAAGCTGCTTATGCACAAGAATAGAAGCCTTGAACAAACCCTGGCTGACATTAAGCAATTCGGGAGCAGGCCTTCACCTCATTGTGCTCATATTGTAGGAAATAAAATAAAGAAATAAATGAAATAAAATATAAATGGAACAAAATGAAATGAATCCTTGTGTCAATGCTGCTAACATCAGATGTTCTTGCTTTGACAACAGATGGAAATGCAGCCATTTTTCTCTATTGCTTTTAGAGTTGGTTGATGCTAGGAGGGGGAATGTGGATGAGAGTCTAGCTAGTCATAACAATAATAACTCAGCTGTGGGAAACCAAGGTCATTGGGCCCAGAGTTGATAGAGTTTTGGCAGGCTGGAGAGCTGGGGAGGAAGTCCGTGCTTCAAGCTAATTGGAGAATGTGATTTATGACTGTTTATTGAAGGAGGGAATTGTGCTTTGTTACTTTGTACCCAGAGGAGGGGAATTTAGTTTTTGGTTTTAACTATGTAGTGCCAATACTTTGTTTCTCGAATAAAATATTTTTTAAGGTAAGCAATGCCTCAAAGTTCTTTTGAAGAGTTTCATCTGTTGGAACCATGACACCTTGAAGGCCAGTTTGGGGCATGTGGGGTGGTGATTCTGCAGGCTAAGGGATTGTGTTCCTGTGGCTGGCAGTGATAGGCGGGTGAGGCTCCTTGGTCAAATTCAAAGGAAAATTGTTTATCTATCTATTGTAGGTATAAACCTCTGCAGCTCCAGAAGACTCTGGGCAATTCAGGGGTCCCTGTGCAGCTTGGAGGTGCTGAGCCTTGGCAGCACATCCTCCAGGTGCTCAAAGCACCCCAGTCCCCTACCTACCATGTGACTTGGCCTCTAGTAAGATGGGACCTGGGCTAAAGTGGGTCAGTGAGTCTAACTGGTCAGGTATCCAGGATTCAGGGTAGAGTTACACAATTGAGGGAAATTATCTGTATAGGCCTAGTCACTGACTTCTTGGGGTTGATTTTGGACCAGATGCACGATGGCAACCATTAGTTGCTGCACTGGATCCTAAATAGCCCTTTTATTGAAATGAGGGAGAACACCATTTCCCTCCAGGTCGATCTTGCCAGAACAAAATGCTGGCCATAGGTTCACAGTGACGCTGGTGGCCCAGTCTTCCATGTTATTCAGATGGCAGACCACGTTCACTGGCCTTCCTTCATCCAAGGGCTGGGCTTAGGTCACCTGTGGCTGAGGACCCTGAGCTGGACAATAAGTTTTCCTGTCTAGCAGTGTGGATCTCACCTGCCTTTTGCTGGCAGGAGCAGCAGCATGGAGGAGAGAGCTCCAGTTTTGCTGTGGCTGTGGAAGGGGCCCTAGAACTGGGAGGTGTTGGGAAAGGAAGGTTTACTCTGAATGTCTTCCTGATAATGCCCACTTGCTCTCCATGGTCCTGAGACTCCCTGCTCTTGATCTCTTGTTTCCCAAGTGTGCTGCTGAAATGGGGGGGGGGGGAGAGGAGAGGGGGGACGGAATTATTGCATGATCTAGAAAATAGCAAAGTAAGTTTGCCAACTCTCCTTCTAGCTCTCCTGCACCTCTGATCTTACTACCACAGCAAACACCCTGGTTTCCTTATCTGTGGTAGGATGCTCTAGGTTAAGATTTCAGGGAGGGGAGACAAGCCTGATTCCACCGAGAGGCAAACAAATGTTTTTAGTTCCTTGCTTGTTCCTAGCTATAATGGCAGGGTTCTACATTACAGACAAGGCTGCCCCTTTCCTTCATTATATGCAACCAGAGAGCCAGTTTGATATAGTGTTAAGGCACAGGCTAGAAACCAGGAGATAATTTTAGTCCAGGGGTAACTTTGGACCAGTCACTCCTCTCAGCCATTTGAAGGAGGAAGCAGGGACAAACCAGTTTCAAAGTCTTGCCAAGAAAACCAGGAATCAACACCAACTCAGAGGCAGGCACACACTCAAGAGTCCCTTCCCAGCAACCATAGGGTCCTGCTCTTCCCTCCAGCCCCAAAAGCTAGTGCAGCAGGCAGACAGCGGTTCAAAGACAACTTTATTGCTCAGTGGCCCAGGTGAGGCACCCTGAAGGCAGGCAGCTCAGAGGAAGGCAAAGAAGGGGCCCTGGTTGTGGCACGTGGAGCTCATCTGTATTTCTCACACAGCACGTCGGACACCTGTTCAAGAAACTTGGCCCAGGCCAGGCAGACGCAGGGATTGTACTCGTTGCGCAGGTGAGTGGCCAGAGACACTATGAAGCATTTGGACAGCAGCTGCAGGAAGGAGGAGGAAGAGGAGGAGGAAGGTAGGAGTTAGCTGGGCCAATAGGACAGGCACCGCTCTTCCCGCCCTGCAGTCACTTTGCCCCGACTTGCCTTGAAGTTGACCGGGTCCACACGGAGATTGTAGGCATGCAGGTCACTAAGCTGGGAGAGGGCGCCGCGGAGGTCATCCAGATGCTTCAGGGCGTTATCCAGCGCCTTGCCCACTTTCTCTCCCTGGTGGATGATGTCCTTCGAGCCGGGACTCAAGTTATAATGGGAGAAGTAGGTCTTGGTCTTCGGGAAGACCATTAACAACCTGCGGCAGGGAAGAGGAAGAGGAAGGGGTCCGTCAGGGGGCCCTGGTGGCAAGAAAGTGGAGGGCAGCGGGCGCCCGTCGCGGGAAAGGAAGGCTCCGCCCGCCCGCCTACCTGTTCAGCGCATCGGCGCCAATGTCCTCGAGGCGACAGCCCAGTTTGCCAACGGAGGCTTGAAGGAGCCTGCGATCCTCGGCGGTCAGCACCATGGTTGTGGTAGAGAAGGAGGAGATCGAGGGAAGACCTGTGGGTCGCTAGATTGAGGCAGACTGGGAGCCGGGGCGCCACCGTCGCTTTTATAGCTGCCCCCTCCTCGATCCGCCCCTCTTATCTTATCGCCGCCGCGGTCAGGAGCGCTGCTGCAGCGCTGCCAGCTCGCCCGGGCGGGACCCGCTTCGCTGCGGCTTCCCAGACCAGCCCTTGAGCCGCGCTCAAGGAATGCTCGAAGGCAGAAAGAAGACTGTCTCCTCTGGAGGACTGCCGCGCCCAGATAGCCTGGGTCTCCTCGACCTTTCCGTCGAGCGTCTCGGCCGTTTCACAGGAAAAATGCCCGATCTGCGGAGAGCGCCCCGATCCTGGAATTCCGAGGCGGGTTTGTGGGACGACTAAAGGCGGCCGGGGTGTGTGTGTCGCTGGGCTCTAAGGACACGGAAGGGCAGTCAGGATGGGAATACGCCAAGCCGAAGGAAAAGCGCTCCCGACCTGGAGGGAAGCCCAGGAGTTCAGTCTCAATCCTGACAGAGCTCTGCTAGGAAGAAAAGCCCCTGCCCGCCACACCAGGCTCCCCTCAGAGGTCCTAAACATTTAAAGAATGTGTGACTCCACCTGACTGGGCACTTTAGAAAATAAAACAAAGTAAACAGAATATATGCATCCAGAATATTGTTCCCCTTCACCAACCAATATTAAGATTGCCCAAAATGGTCCTGCTTCACAGCTCAGGCACTGTATTGAGGTGTCTAATCCATTGAGGAAGTAAATAAACAAGTAAATAAGTCAACATGCTAAGTCTTGGCTTCTTAACAGCCATTACTTAACCACAGCTGGCTGACTTTACAGCCTCCCCTGGCAATTCATTAGATAACATAGTATGGCTGAGTCCTGGCTTCCTATGTACATGAAAGTAAGATTTTTTAGAATTTGTACCCTAATTTGGGTTAGGCAGCAGCTTGACAGCCTTTCTTTTCCAGCCTACCTGGACAGGCTGAAAAGAACGCCTGGCCCCATCTAAAAATCTAAGGAACAATAGGATATGGGAAAAAGCAGCCCACCTGTTGATGCCCTACAACCTAAGTTAAATACTTAAATTTTTAAGCTCTTGCTTACCTCTAGGGCATATTTTGTATTTTAGATTTTTATCCCATCTTTATTCTTTATAAATAACTTGAAGTAAACATACCTAATATTCACCCCCCCCCCTATTTTCTTCACAACCCTATGAGGTGGGTTGGGCTGAGAGCAAGTGACTGGCCTAAAATCAACAACTGGTTTTCATGCCTAAGTGAGGTCTAGAACTCAGTCTCCTGGTTTCTAGGCCAGCACTTGAACTACTACACCAAACTGGCTCTCACCACATTGTCTCCACTTTTTCTTCCTTCCAGAAGGATAATGAAAAATGTGCTGCCGAATGACCAGAGATTCTCCTAGGAGAAGGAAGCCGTTAGTGAGGGGAAAAGGTCAAGCCAGGCTGAGGCTGTTGCCTCATAGGGTGTTAATTTGTCATGCCAGCCTTGGACTCTGCTAGAATGTTTGGGATAAAAGTGTGTGCATATGTGTATGAGCAGAAGCCTCCCTGCAGCACCATGCAAATTGGGATGTGAGGACACTAGGAACAGAGAATAAAGCAAGCAAACAAATAAAAATATTCTGGGATTTCCCATTCTATTGAATAAATACCAGTGAAGCCAGACAATTTGGGCTCCAGGCAACACCCTGCATTCAGCCTCCTATGTTTTAGAAGACATCAAGTGTGCAGGAATTTAACTCTGTGTGACTCTCAACTTCCAAGGAATCTTTTGATTGGGATAATTTGGGCTGTCCTGCTGGTAGCCTCTTCTCTAACTTAGGAACCTATTTTTTAACTTGCAGTTAGCAAGTGCATAGAAGGATGCTCCAGACAAGCATTATTGCTTTCAGCACAAAAAGGCAAAGTCTGAAATTCTGGGCAGATATATGGGAATACCTTTTTCCCTTTTCTTATTTTACTGCTGTGCTCCCCCCCCCCCAGCAAATTCTTGCTTAGCCATGGGACTCCCGAACTCCCAAAACATTGTAAACAAGTGAAAATCAGATTTATTAGTGACATTGAACTCTTCTACTGTTACTCTGTGTAGTTTGTCGGTTCCTGAACTTAAAAATGTGTAAAGCAAGGTTCGATGATTTTTCCCAGATGAATGATACAATACTGGAAGGATTGGTAATACACTTGATTGATAATATACATAATCTATCATAGCTTTTTTCCAGTAAAAGGACTAGACTTTTAAGTAACTTGAGCATCATTTTGGAGCTGTTTACAGAGCTTTTTCTCCAGACCATTTATTATTTTGAATGTTACATACTATTTTTAAAATACTTGTATATCTTTTTTCTGTCCGTTGGGGCTAATTTGAAAAGAGCACATATTGGGCCGCAGGGTGGGGTCTCCCGCGGCAGGTCTTCCTCCTTGCCCTCCGTATAGAAGGCACTGCCACGCCGCCCCCGCTTGGAGGCACGATGGCGGGTGGGCGGGCGGCGTATCTCTCCAAAGCCAGAGCGCCCCTTCGGTCTTATCGCCCGCTTGCTAAGCCGAGACGGAGCGCCGAGTCCGCCTGGGCTCCCTAGCCGAGGCGCCGCCTGTTTACTGGAAGGCTACCCACGCAAGGGCTCCCCCGCTTCTATCGTGCCTTGCGGCTTCCGAGGCCGGTGAGCCAGGCCCCGGCCAAGCCCTCGGGAAGCGGTGGGACTTGACGCCCATCATCCCCAACCTTCGCCTAGAGTAGACGGCAAATTGAAGAAACCCGCCCCGCTCCCGGAAGACAAACGGAAGTGACGACGGGCAGCTGACAGCAGAGGGTGACGACCACGCAGCCGCCGCGCCCGGGTGTTAGGCCCTCTACCCTTTCGCCTCCGACTCTATGGCGAGGCGGTTCCGCGGGCGAGAGCAGCAGCATGAGGGACACCTCGAGCCCCGTCAGCGTCATCCTGGTGAGCTCCGGCAGCCGAGGCAACAAGCTGCTCTTCCGCTTCCCCTTCCAGCGGGGGCCCGGCAACCCGGCCGCCCAGATCGGTGAGGAACTAGCGCGTGCGCGATGGGCGGCCGCCGCCCCGCCCCGGAAAGCCTGGCCGCTGCCGTTGCTATGGTGATTCTGGCGTTGAATTCCGCCGGGCTGTCTTGCTCCGCTCCGGCCGCTTTCCGCCCGCTTGCTCGGATGACCCGGCGGCCGGCCTCCCCGTTGCTGACCCAGCGGCTGTCCCCGTCGTGGGGGGTTGGCTGGTCCGTCCCGCCCCTGGCCTGACGTTGCCTTTTCTCGGGCAGCTGGCCCAGTTGCCCTTCCTGCCCATTCGGGCGGCGTCTGCAGCTCTGCCTCCTCCCTGAAGGCAGGGAAGCGGCCCGGTCCATGCTTTGGCCTGGTTTCTGTTGATTTCACAGTTGAACTCAGTGCTTCACCTGCGACAGGTTCGCATCGGGCCATCATCACCCGTTCAGGGGTTTCAAGGTCGGACGGTTTTCCTGGCTGTCTTTCCAGGCAGGCCTAGGTAATCCGGAGCAGACCTCTACATCAATTCCTCAACCGAGTGTCCGTGCCCCTGTGTTTGATCAGGCCGTGTTCAGTTAGCTTTTTTACATGCCAGTTCCTGTGACTTGCTTCTTGGGACACTTTTAATGAAAGATGGGAAAGTAACTACTGTCAATGATTGAAAAAAATAGGGTGAGCTTAGCTGATCACTAGAATGCTTCTTTTGTGCTTAAAGTGAAAAGCCGATCTTTGTGTTTCATGACATATCTGTACCGCTTAAGTGTTCTGGTTAAATGTGCTGGCAGCATATACTACTGCTAAGGAGACTGGCAGACTATTGTTCCCTTAGAATATTTTCCTTACATAGTGAAGAAAAAAGAATTTAAAATATATACTTCATCTCAGTTTTGAAAGGACAGTTAATCACCTGGTAGGCTTGATCCAGATGACATGCTGGCTGTAATAGCTGGCTTACCCAAAACATTCCTCTGGGTTAGTTTTCTGCAGAAAATGGTAGGATTCTCATAAAATATGCTGCCTCTGTTCCCATTACCATGCAAAATGTGGTGTGTGAATGGGGCAGTGAGTAATCCCTCCAGGCTTGAGGTTACCCCCCCTCCATTTTTTTAGGAACGTCAAGGAATAGGTATGCTGTAAACAGTATTGGTGACAATGTAGAAGATCCGGATGGAGATTCCAGGTATGTATTTCCCTGGTTCTTTTTTACAGATCTCCTACTCCCGGGTATGTTGGTTGGCAAAGTTGAGCTTAGCTCTTTTTGTGAAGGAATTGTTGAATGTCATGGTTTTGAGGAAAACATAAAAATATTCTAACCAACTCTTGTACTGTTTAATAAACATAGTTTATCCCAGTGAATGATCCTTAAGTTTTTTGCTCCTCTGCTGTTAACAATGGGAGGAGGCAACTCTTCCCTGCTGGTAGGTCTGACAGAGGGGAAAAAGCTCCAGAATTTCCACTTGCCAAGAGACACTGACTTTCCCTGGCTTTTTATTCAGTCTCTGGAATTGAAGCTGGGGAATTTTCAAGAAAAAATCTGCATGGAAGCTAGATCCAGCCCTCTGTTGGTTCTTAGCTGGCTGGTATGAACTGGGGTTTGTTTGTTTGTAATTACAACAGTTGCAGGTCCCACTCTGGTCCTGAACTGCATTCTCTGTTGTCCAGAACTGTTGAGGAGGTGGCCAGCTATAATTTAATGTTTCTCATGTGGTACAATGCATGGGTTTATGCTGCTGTAGTCTGAAGTGCAGAATTCAGAAATAGAAAAAAATGCTCCATTGAATCTCCATAGCATAGAAAGTTGGAAACGGCTGCTTTCTGTGACCCGAAAGAAAAGGAGCTGCACTTGGTCAGGTGGTAAAGAAATGGCACAAGTTTTGGAAAAATAATTCCAAACCATGGGATGCTCCAAGTGGTTTGCACAGTAGCAGTGGCCATGAAGGAAGGGCCTGTTGAGGTCCCTGGAGTCCAGATTTCTTATTCCAGCAGCCTTGAGACATTCCTACATGCTCTGTCCTGCCTGCCCATCCCTTATTCTGCTGTCTCTTTGGGGGAAGCCAGGCTACCTGTTGCACTATCAGCAGCCATTGCAAGTTTATTTCTTATTTCTCCTTATAGTATTATACCATCAATGTACATGGATGTGTGTGTGTATGTGTGTGTGTGTGTACATTTGTGTCATTGTTTTCATTTTACTTTAGAAACATCATTTATTTGTAAGTGAAAACTGGCAGGATTTCATTGTCCCATTTTATGTATGTGTGAATAGTGTGCCTTGTGTGATTTTTGTCTGGTTGATTCTCCAGTTTTGTTTCTGAGTCGTGCTTATAGCCCCTGTTCCTATTTACAGAGAGCCCTATCCTCTCACTGATGAGCAGGTGGTGTCAGGGTAAGACCAAATTCATCTGTCTCCAATGGCTTTTCTTTTTTACCATCTTCTTGTATTGTGTTTCTACTTTCTGTCTTGGACTATACTGTAAATGAATTGAATGAGAGTGGAGTGCATGTGTGATGGACGAGCTTGTGAGTAATTTAAAGGAGGAGCCAACCTAGAAAGAGAACTGCAGCACTGTGGCCGAATGTGTGTTTTGCATGCAGAAGGCTTTGAGTTTTCTCTCTGGCTGCCTATCTACTATCAGTGGAGACAAGACTGGATTAGATGGACCAAGAAGCTGACTCAGTTGATTGGAGTGTATGAGGTCAAAGCTGGCACACCATTCTGTACTTTATAATAAACAATGACTGCTTTTTCACCATTTAGGAAATATGTCATTTTTGTCTGGGGAGGCATTTGTATGTAGCATTTAAAAGCTGTCTCCTCTCTAGTTTTTTAGGATGCAGAGTAACAATACTCTGAATTACAGAATATTGAGGCAGCTCCACATTTGAGCTATTATGTTCTTTTCCAATCTGGTCTCCCTTAGCCATATTTCATTATAGGCTTTAGAAGTTCTAGTCAGTGTAACACTTGAATGAGGAGGGTTGTGATAAATTGTTGGTCAGGCCTCCATTATGTATTTGCCCTAGTTGTGTGGTTTTATACTGGTCTAAATCTTTTCCCAAGACTCAGCATCACTTAAATTGCAGCCAGAATAAATGGGTCCAAAGGAAAAGCTGAAGAAAATGGTCTGCATTGGAGGCAGGGAAGGGGCCCCCTTCTTACAGAGAGGTAGGAACTCCTGAAGGGTTCATAGGAGAAGTTCTCTTTAATTGTGGAAGTAGAAGCTGCTAAAAGGTCAGATACCATCGTTATTTGCCCTGAGGACATTTATTTGCATAAGAAGTATGACTGTTCTATTGATGATCAAAATAGCTGGCAGCATTATTGAAACAAGGGTCCCCAAACACTGACAAAACCAGGACTTTTGCAGCAACATCCCAGAGGCTCTTAAGAAACCAATGAGCTCCCCTGAATTGCCTTTAGGCACCTGATCTTCCAAAGAAACACTCACAACTGCTTAAGTTCACCCAATGTGCTTGGCTAAAATCAAATGCTTAGCCAGAGTGCAACCATCATGAAAAGACAGGGAGATGGGGAGACTTAATAGGAAGCTCTACTTTTTCAAGAACAAAAATTTGGAATTTTCTGTTGCCAGCATAGAGCAGATTTCCACAGACTGGATATGAAAAGTTTCAAGAATTTGATTTTTTCATCTCATTTTTTTCCACACACACACACAGAACTATTGGCACTTCCATTCTGTCTTAAGGAGAACATCTTGGAGGACTATTTTTGGTCTTAATCCAAATAAGAGTTTGAACTTCAATTGCCAGGTCTCTGGTGAGAAAGATTGCAAAGCCACAATTCTGCCTTGAGTGTTGCTGCCTTCTGGGAAGGCTGATAGCTGATAACTCTCTGGGCTGCAGCCCTCATAGCAGAACAATGCAACTTCTCTCTGCAGTCACAGGGGAGAAGCCTCTCTATGACAACTGCCCCTGACTAGCAGTGGGATGGGGCAGAGCGGGGAGGGGAGGGGGAGCGGTGACTAAAAATCTGAATGGGAAAACACAGAAGCTAAGCAAGCTCAGAGGTAGAAGATGTATTTCTGCCCAGAGGGCTGCAATTCCATCATCACCAGTCCTTCAAAGCTTCAGTTAGCTGCAGACTGCCTGGTGTTGCAGGTGCTCTGAGGCCTGTGATCCTGGCCAGCCTGCAAGCCTCCATGTTGGATGACTTTAATTTCCTTGGCTTATCTGGTTGGGTCCTCTGGGGCACCTGCACTTTGAAAGATAACAACAACAACAACAACAAAAAGTTGGAAGGACCTTGGAGGTCATCTAGTCCAACCCCCTGCTCAGGCAGGAAACCCTATACCATTTCAGACAAATGGCTGTCCAGTCTCTTCTTAAAAACTTCCAGTGTTGGAGCATTCACCGCTTCTGGAGGCAGGTTGTTCCACTGGTTAATTGTTCTAACTGTCAGGAAGTTTCTCCTTAGTTCTAGGTTGCTTCTCTCCTTGG